TTGAGCCAGGGGAAGTGATGGACTACAATCTCATGTTTAGTTCACTAATTTGTATTGAGTTTGTAGTCCAATGCACAAAGTAGCCATATTCCAGAAGGAAGGACAGTGTCAGCACCAATTCAGAGATGATTGGAGGATCTACAGCCGAGTAATACACAGATAAAGATACATTTTTGTTAGTAGTTAATGTACTTGAATGTATTTTTAAGATTTAACTCCTGTAGAGTCACTTTAAGTTTAAAGCTGCGCACATATAAACTGAAAGTAGAACACTACATTGAGAAAATGACAAATGAGAACGCACCGAGCATGAGAATAGCTTTGAGGACAGCAAACACTGCTCCCACTTCAATGCTGTTATGAGCAGCTGCCAAAAGATGTCTGTCACAGGAAGAACATATAACAGGTGCCAGCTTTCCTAAGGATAAAATAAATGACATGGTTTTATTAAATATAATATGCACTGTAACCTTTCATCTTACAAAAGAATCTGTAAATAAGCTGTAATTTATAGTTTACACAGAGAGAAATCAGTCCCCCCGCCACACACACACAAAACCCTTTCCACAGCCCACACATACAAAAAGTACATCTTCTTTGAATTAAAATAGTGTTACCTGCAAAATGGCTTCAAATAAACTAGAGATACACCTGAGTCATGGCTGGCACGTCAATAACCAAACATAGACGTCACTTCTAGGACTATAAGCTAAATGATTCTTATCCCAAATGCTTAACAAATACCTATTGGACACTAAGACAGATGAAACTTTTATAAACAAAACAAATTCTATCAAATCTTTATATTACGAATAAACACTTGTACATATTTACAAATAAACATTAAAACATGGTGTATCCATCACACTGGGTTTGTAGGGCATTCTGGATTTTCTGGATCTTATGGATAGCAGCAGTTTCTCCTCTGGTGGCTCTCTTAACTGGAGGGAGGGGGGCACATTTCAAACTCATTCAGCTGCGAGAACAATTTGAGATTCAAGTATTCAAATACCTTTTAAAGAATAAGCTATTTTAAGCTATGCAGTTAGGGCAAACCTTGTAAACATAAAAAAAAGCTTAGGACTCCAACTGCTTCCTAGAAATAGTAAATATAATTACATTATTATTAGAGGTGCACCTAAATGACATTTTCTGACCGAAACTGAATTTTTTTTTCAAACTTTTAATTTAAAAAAAAATATTTTATCTTTATTAATTTTTTTCTAAACTTTTACATTTTTATACTTTTACTTATTTATTTTTATTTTTATAATTTTTTTGTATTTTTTTTAAACTTTACTGCTGGGGGCTCTGGGAAATATCAGGGGTCTGAACAGACCCCTGATATTTCCCTTTTAAAAGGGAACTCTTTTTTTGAACTCTTTCTTAAACAGTTAATCCCCACACAGCTACCTCCTCATGTATCACTTGCTCCTTCCTCTTAGATTGTAAGCCGTCACAGGCAGGGCCCTCCTTACCATCTTGTGTTGAATTGTATTGTAATTATAATGTCTTTCTTATATTGTAAAGCGCTGCACAAACTGTTGGCGCTATATAAATTCTGAAATCCTGTATAATAATAATAGTAATGTATAATACTTGAATACTCCCAATAGGAGAGACTATTGGATATAAATATGTCTCATGACTATGTATGAAAATGCCCATACACCTTACGATTATCGTACGATAATCATATGCGATTGACTTTTCGTACGACAATCGTAACGTGTGAATAGAGTGCCCGACTGAGTACTGTACAATCGTACGACTTTTCACGGTCAAGCATGTTTGAAAACTTTGGTCTATCGTACGATGTTTGCATGGTTGGTGGCGTTTCCATCCGTCAAAAGTCGTACGATTAACACTGCGCATGCGCAAACGATAATAATTACGGTCAATTACCGCAAGTCGTCCGGGTGTTTTTTTTAAACTACCGCTGATTGAACCTTGCGATAATCGGGGCAGGATGGGGCCGTCGTACGAAAATCGTACGACGGTTCGATCATCGGACGAAAAGCTTAGTCTGATTATCGTAAGGTGTATGGGCACCTTAAGAATATATATTGCCAATTTGATAAGAAAAGACAATAGGCTAATATATAATGCTTTCACCTGTAGAACATTACCTGAAGAGTGGCCCGAAGCCCAAATTGCTAATTACAGGTTGTGCAGTGAAGATTTAAACGGACATTAGCAGGTAATAGAAAAGATTGTTGTTTCTATGGCCATATGATAAGTGAACATGAATTTACATATGCATATACCGATGACCATCTCTAAGGGCATTTATTGACTTTTATATGTTCGACTCGTGTATTAAAGAAGATCTTGACATGTTGTTACCCAATAGAATGTTTTTGCTCTAGTTGAATATATCTCGCTTTCCTGGCCCCTGTAGTGGGGTCCGGTTGGTTCCCTCTTATCTCTCTCTGTCCGCGCCCAGGGTTGAAGGTTGGATAGCAGTGACGCTGCCATTTTTAAGAGATTTTTGTAAGTTTATTTAAACTTGATGAAACATAATGGTCAATACATGTAATGAAAGAAAAAAGTCTTGAAATGAACTAAAGTTTTTTTATATTGGAATTCCTTATATAGAGATAATAGTCAACTCCTGAAGAAGCGGGTCTCCGTGAAACACGTAGAGAGAAATTGTCCTCCAACTGGATTACACTTTGAAAAGCAAACCGATATGTAACCTACAAGTATTGTTAGGATTATGAGAATATGTGGGAGGATGAGGCTACTTCTTATGCTCAAATGTAGATGAATATGTTTTAAATATGTTAAAATAAAGTTTGTTATATGTGATACACACATCAGTTTGTGATCCTTGGGGTACATATAAAGTCAGGGTTTTCGCTTTTTTCTATAGTTAAAGTAGAACTAAACCTTCCTGTTTGTTTTTTTTGCATATATCTGCTGCTAGCAAACAGTAGATATATGCAAAAACATTAAAAAAGTTACCAAAAAGGTCAAAACTTACCTGTGTCTCTGCCGCTCGCTCCCGTATGAAGATCTGTAGATTATGGGGTGGTTGTGAAGGATCATGGGGCGGGTGCATGCGCAGTAGAGATATTTGGCCGTGAGAAGAGGAGAGACAAAAGGTAATTTACTGCAGGCAGCCCGCCAGCATGCACGTGGACAGACTCCATGGGACACAGAAGACACAGCAGTCAGTGCCGGATCAGAGACTGACACCAGCACTGGAGGGACTCCTGAAAACTACAGGAAAGAAGAAGATGATCGGATCAAGAGGCATCGTTTAAGTTAAGACCTTAAAGCAGCATTGGGGATGTGACTTTAATGTCACTTTAATTATTGGCATGTGGTACTCCCCCCTATTTCCTATGCACACCTGTATATAAGATTATAGCCTATGTATAAAAATTAGATTTTGGGTTTATAACACTTTAACTCCTCAGTTAAACAGGCCTCAAGTCTGGAGGAGGCCTCTGCTATTGTTGGAGGAGGAGAACCAGGGAAACTGATGGCTGCTGGAGGTGCCTGGAATATAGAGGACCTCAGGAGCAAGTCTGGTGTCTTTCCTACTGAAGATTTTGTGCCAATCCCTATTCAGCTGTGCTGCAAATGGATATTGACTGGAATACTAAAAGGGACTGGTGAGTCTGGAGTCTGTGTCTGTTTTGCCCTGGATGTCTAGGCCCCCTGTACCCTCTCTCCCAGTGTGAAAATGTTTATAAAGTTCTTCAGCATCATACTTCTGGCCTGGATATTAGCTCTGTTAGTCACTAGAAGAGGGCGGTTTATGCATCTGGTTACTAAAATCTCTAGACAGGCTATGGGTAACCCGAGTATCTGTTGGCTCCTTTGGGGGTGACGTTACATTAATATTCAAGTAAAGTGACTCATTGAGTTCAAACATCATTGTACCAATGTCTGCCAGTATTCTTTGGTATCCTTAAGGTGCCCATACACCTGCTGATTATCGTACAATAATCGCAGGTGATCCCGCGATCAAAGATAATCGGCAGGTTTATGGGCAGCGTGCGACTGCATCTACTGTACGGTCGCACGACTTTTGTCTTCCTAGCAAGCTCGAGTAAGTACGATCTGCCTGTCCAAGATGGGCAGATCGTACAAAATTTTTATCAATTTACAACCATCGCACAAGGAAAGTCGTGCAATGGTTGTAAGGTGTATGGGCAGCTTAACTGATATCATTTCTCAGGTTACAGGGCTTAATTAACCACTTAAAGGAGAACTATGGGGTGAGTGCTTTTCACTCACCTCATAGTTCTAGCCGACCTGTGACAATGAGACTGTCACAGGTCGGCTCAGTAGATCGGGAGGTGAGCGAACACATACCGGCGTTCGCTCACCTCTCGATCCTGTCACGGCTCTCTGCCGTGACAGGGGAGGGGCTGGATTCCCCCCTCCCCGCTCCGATCCGCCAGCACTGACTGGCGGAACAGACGGGGCAGGGGGCGAGTACAGCTGGCTCTGCCTTTAGATAGGCAGAGCCAGCTGTCAGTCACGCAGCTGGGCGGATCCCGGCACAATTGTTGTGATCCGCTTCAGCTGCGGCGTCTCAGTATACCGCAAGCTACAGCTCGCGGTATACTGAGCCTAGGGTGACGGGAGGACGCTAGTTTGTGTCCTCCCGTTACCCTAAGGAGAACTATGGGTAAAAGACTTAACCCCATAGTTCTCCTTTAAAGACCAGGTGTTTACACCCCCTTCCTGGCCAGGCCATTTTTCAGTATTCAGCGCTGCAGTAGTTTGACTGACATGTATTCCTGCATACTAGGGATGCACTGATATATGGTCCGCCGAAACATATCGTCCGCATAATGCCGAAAGTGCCATTTTCCTGCTGATACATCGGCGCATCCGTGATTTCTTTTCTCCCCGCTGGGCGCTGCTCTATGTCCCAGCGGGGAGAAGAGAAAGTGACAGCCGGCCGAGCGCTGCGGTGGAGAGTGCTGTGAACGGCCGGCGTCTCCTCCCACACCGCTCTGCCGCCTATCACAGTCCGGCAGAGCAGTGTGGGGGCGGAGACAACGCTGTCACAGGAGGCGGGGCTTTTCTCCCTACTTGAAATAATAAAGAAAAATAAATATAAAAAAATGTAAAAGTTTATAAAAAAATTAAATATTAGAAAAAATTAAAATACAAAACATTTTCGGTATCGGTATCGGTTTCGGCCTGACATTTTTTTATTTCGGTTTCGTTTTGGTTTTAAAATTTCCATTTCGGTGCACATTGTACTGAAATAAATGTTATACCATTTTTTTGGGGACAGATAGAGCTTTCTCTTGGTGGTATATAATCACTACTGCGGTTTTAATGTTTTACTATATTAAGGAAAAAATTACCAAAACGTTTGAAACAAAAAAGTTTTTTTTAGATTATTTTATAATAAATGTATTATTACCCAACTTTTTGGTAAAATAT